ATATAAATCAAGATAGCCGTTAACACTGTTAAATATATAAATCATCAAAGAAAGGTAAATACAGTGTTCGAATAAAGGACATAATAGCAAAACATGTAGCATAGCTCTCGACGAATGTAGTCCTGTAATTAAATGAATAAAGAAATTGTGTAATAAAATGCGGGACTCGAACCTGCGACCTCTCGCTGTCAAGGCGAGCGTAATAACCATTACACCACGGAGGCTTCATGGTTGAACAGATTCAAATACCACCAGATACACTCCATTACACAATGTACGGTTAGAAACAAATAGCTGCATATAATATAACTCAAGATAGCCGTTAACAATGTTATATAAATAAATATATATAAATCATCAAAGAATTCTTTGATGTGTCGACCTTCGACATATTCATGCACAATTGAAAATACAAGAAGGCTTAATATAAAGTAAATACACGTATGTTAGCATACTTGTTGTTCCCTGTCCAGTCCCAAGGCAAAGTAACTGGACATCAGCCTGATCATCTTTCAATGCCTTGCCTGCGAGAATACTCAGTGCCTTTTCCATGCTAGCTCGTACAGCGTGGGGTTTCAAACACTCATTGAGCATGGTAACCATGTTTGTCCCATGTTCATTGCAGCTTAACTATTGGAAAAAGAAATTATGAAATACGAATACTATCAAAAGTATGTTTTTTATAAAAAAAAAAAAAAAAAGATAAAAAGTGTAGACTAAGCTTTTAGGCAATATTTTCCTACTATTAGTGATATAAGAAAGAGCCAAGTTGCTACATTATGCAGACCCGTAGTGTGACTTAATTTGTGGGAGGTTAGTTTCAGTGGAAAGTGGGCCCAATTATCTAAGATACTCTGGAGAACATTCTAAATATACCTACGTTTTTTCGTTTTTAAATGCGGACCTTCTCCAGTTTTTGGGCAGTTCGTCGTAACCCCCTTAACCGCCCCTCACCCCCAGGCTACGGGCCTGCTATGGATCATATAGACCTACTGGTATATTACTAAATATTATCATTACTGGTCTCGTATCATTATTGTTAAAGGCGCTTAATTGCAATTAATTATTTCTAATAAAAATATAACTCCTCCAGTCTCTTTGATGACTCTCAGTTTCCAAAAATATGGATCAGTAGCACATGAACTGAACCACGCTTAGGCGTAGTAGACTTTTCCCCACCTTTTTAATCCACACTGAGGATATATTAACCATTGAAAACAAATAATAAACTCTACTTACTGGAATTACGGGAGCGTATGCTTGATCGTCAACTTTCTTCTGGTAGACATGTTTTGCATCGTAATATTCTTCAAATATATTTCGTCCTTCGATGGTTTCAATCAACAGAAGCGCTTGTAGAAGAGGTTAAATGAATGTTAAATGTAATAGTTATCAATTGTTTATGGTTCATACTCACCATCTAATATCATAACAGCTCGTAGAGTAAGCCTCATTCCAGACTTTGCGAACGGAATGCGTAGGATGAAAATACGCTTAATTGATCACTACCAATAAAAGGTTGGATAGGTCAGGACATTTTCTTTTCTCAAGGGCAAGTATGAGCTCGGAATCAGCATTACCTTGTGAGAGTAGCAATTTAATTGTAATACTGTCGCTGTGTGGCAAGTATGTGAATATATTTTTTAACATTTTGACGGAACTTTGCAGAAACCATCAACACATTATAGCAGGTAATCTAGATGTGTGGTATTTCTTTATGGTGTCATGTCAACTGGAATTACTAAATGGTGGGATTAGATATTGTCTGATAGTTACATGTGGGCCAACTATTTGGGAACTAACACGCCTTTTACCCAAGGATGTTGCTACCTACCATAACTATAGACGTCCGCTTTAGATGTGTACCTCTTTGTAGTTACCTCTGGTGCCATGTACCTCATTGTTCCTACGTGGGAATACATCGTTGATCTCTCGGTTATGCGTGCAAGACCGAAGTCCGTCAATTTGAATGTCTTCTTATCACCTGTTACCTGTCAAACAACAGAAATACATTGTTGATGTTGTGATAAAATGTAAACATCAAATAAATACATACCTGTATATATGAATAGGGCTATTGCACAGTAAATTTCAGAAAATAAAAGTGGAGTTAAAACAATATGGGAGTAGTTCACACTTGGGACCAGGAGTGGCGCCCGGATTTGCCCGATGGGAGCTGATGTCCCCGACGAGAAGAAAGCGGGCCTGGTCGCAAAAAAAATGGATTGGTAAGGTGAACCGCCAAAAGGGGTACTTAACAAGCATTTTCGTGGACACCCTGTCGCAGATTGTTGAGTTCCCAAGGATCGAACAACCAAATATTGTTTAAAGCGAGTTCAGCATCTTCTTTTTAAAATAATTTAAATATAGAAGGATTATTTGGAATTGTTTTCCATTTACCATGACATTATCGGCTTTCAAATCTCTGTGCACGACTTTCTTCGCATGAATATACTTCAGTGCTTCTCCTACTTGGGTCGCGCATCGCAAGACAAACTCCTTTGGTTGTGGGCTCGGTTTTCCACCACGTGGTTTAATAATCTCACGAAGATTAAAACCATCGACATATTCCAATTTCAGGAAAAGTCGTTCACCTTGGCGTTCAACTTTTTCCAGTTTTACAATGTTCGGGTGAGATAAATTTCTGTAAAAAACAATGTAAAATTTGATAGGGCCTACCAGTTGCGACAAAACATTGTCAATTGGAATACGATGCGGATTTACAATTTAGCAAACTTACTCCAATGATTTTGCTTCTTTTTTGAAGTCCTCAATCAAATTTCTCTCTTCTCCTTCCAATTCTTTTAGCATTTTCAATGCAAATACTCTTCTTTGTCTATCAAACACTTTGTACACTTCACCGAAGGATCCTTTACCAAGCAACTTCATAGATTTCGTATCATATTCATTACTGCTAGAAATTGCTTGCACGTCGTGTAAACTCAACAATTTAGCACGGACTTCTGGCTGTGAAAGTACATACCAATTAATTAATAAATAATAATAATAATAATAATAATAATAATAATAATAATAATATACATTTGATAATATTAATAGCCAGATAGTAATAAAAATATTATTAACAGTAATAATAATATAAAAACATCACTCAGACTTTTTAAAACGGAGTATTGTCACCTTTAGAACATTTTCCGCATTGTCGCGTTCGATGACAAGTCCCAGTAGCCGAAGAAGTGATGTATCAGGATCCCAACCTGTGGAAACACTCGTGTCGTAGATGTTTCGTCTTTTGGCAACCTCTTCGCCATTGATCACTACAAGATGGGTAGTAACTTTCTTTGAACTTGTTGTAGCAGTGTCTGCGTAACAAATTGCTTCATTAACACCTCCTGAAAAATAAAATTGTCTTGTAGTTCAAGGTTTTTACAATAATAAAACAGAATGACATAATACAACGGTGCATAACGACAACTGAAAAACGATGGACCTATAAACTAAAGTATAGCAAGTTGATAAATTATAAAAACTTTCCTTTGGAAATTATAAATGACCCCTCACCTATACTTATTAACCAAAATATATTTAATATGTAGGTAAATTTAAACTTTCTATAAATATTTCAAACCTTCTAATTTGATGTGAGCAAATGTTTCCTGCCTTAGGCGTTTGTTATTTTCAGATCCTTCCTCTGCGTCAACTATTACCAACTTCAGTGAATTGTTCGTTTTAAGAACAGACTTTGCTTGAAGAATAACTTCTACATATTTTGTCAACGCCATTTGACGCATTAACTTATCTGTTTGATATTCAGGATCCAACTCTTGAACTACCGCTTGATAAAGGAATGTTGCTACAACTGGTGTTCCTTTTTCAATTACCTAGAAGACGAAGAAAACTATACAGCATTTTTAGTTTAGTTTTTTAAGCTAATTCATCTTTACAAAGACCATAGTGTAAAGCTCGTTTTTTTGAATAAAAAAAACTTACTTTTATTAGATTACTTTTTCTCCCCAGCATGGCATCCATTGCTCCTTTAATCTGTTCCTCTTTCTTTTACCCTGAACCGAATAAAAATCATTATTTACATTATCAATTCTATCAATTCTAACTTTGTACTGTACTGAGACGCAGATCCAGGCCTTCACACTGTCCGTCGTGGCGAATGTATGGGTGAGAGATAAAAATTAAGTAGGCAACTGTAGCACCGGATGATCATGTGAATTTAAATTCGCACCTTCTTTCAGAAATTCGGTGTTCCGTATAAGATTTTAAAAATACAATAAAGAGAAAATACATGTTAAAATACTTGATGAAATTGTAGCTCATTTGAAACTCCTAGGTTGTACAGTTATGAGTCCAATAGTAATTAACATTTCTTATTCAAATACATTTAAATAATTAAAAAGCTAAATATTAAACAAAAGAGGCAAGAGGACTAACTTACAAAAAAATTGCACAAAATGTTTGAATTAAGATATGTTTAAAAATATCCAATACGGTAACACTTAAAAATTTGTAAAAATCGTGAAATAATAAGCAGTGAGCCTGGACAGAAACGTAAACTATTGCAGTGTACATTAAAAAATGAATTAAAATAATGTTTAAAAACATGAATTAAAATATGTTTATACATGAATTAAAATATGATGAACCTCCAATTAGATTGTTCAAAGATTTTGCTTTTGAGATTGATCCACCAGTTAATCATAGGCCTATAGTTATCTAATCTTGCATTAAAGTCAGGCTCCGGAGGAAAAAAAATTTGATATGTTGTAAAACTGATTTTTCTAAGACAGAAAAAAGTTGTTTGACAAAAAACTAAGGAACGGTGAATGAGACAGATTTTTTAATATTTAAAAACTGGGGGAATAAGGTGTAAAAATGGGCTGTTACGCTCCTTTCAAACGGGGCGCTTATTCGCGCGAGTATGGTATATCCCTAACTTGCATCCTTGCCAGGGTATTTGAATTAATGATATTAAGGATAAACTTGATTCAAGACAGGGACGTAACCAGGATTTTGAAAGGGGGGAGCCGTTATGCGAATTACGTATGACCCCGGCGGGGTCAAGTGGGAGAATCCCCCTGTGAAGTAGCGCACTCTGAACGTTCTTAGGTCTGTTCGAGAGGATAAAGTGAAAATTGCAATAGACGCATTATAAATAAGGGAAAAAATAATTATATAATAAATCAACAGTGGCAGATCCAGGTATTCGAAAGAGAGGTGAACCAGGGAGGGACTTTCACAGACCGAGGAACCACCAACCTCAGCCCCAGCATGGTTGAGGCTGAGGTAAAAAAATTTATGATTAGGGCATTTTTAGATGGCCGGAAATTACACACCCGCACTTCAATTTGAATATATTTTTCCTTTTTTTCCTTAAAAAAATGAAGGGGGTGCCTTGAATCCACCTCTGCTCAAAACATTCTTTATCCAGAATAGTCATAATCACGAAAAATGGACATGAAAAACTAGATCCCATCCTAAAAACAAACAGCAGTCACTAAGACATACATCAGGAGCCGACTCGATGGAGTTTAATGTCACATACCCAGGGAAGGGCACAGATCTGTTGAAAGGTGGAGGGGGAGGGCATTTTGTAAGTCGACACCCACCCCAGCCCCACAATGGTTGGAGCTTGGGTGAGAAAATTTGAGGAAATAGTACCTCTAGATAGCCAGAAATGACACTTTTAGTAAAATTCTTCATCATCACATCACCATTAGTCAAAATGAAACGCAAAAAGAAATTCTCATGATCTTTTATCAGGGATTTTTGATAACCATAGAGATCTTATTAATGTGTGTGTATACACCATAGAAAACCAAGCTTAAAAACATTGTCTTTGAGTATGTACTTTACATAGGCCTACTTCAAATACGTGATTTCACGTTCACGAAAATTTGAGGAAATAGTACCTCTCGAGATGGCCGGAAATGACACTTT